CCGCCGGGAGGCGTTAGAGGCTGCCAGTTAGATGGAGAGTGTGCTGCCCGGCAGGACAAGTACGCAGTGGGTGTTCGGCTCACGCAGGAGTCCAGTGGCCGGTGGCCTCCGAGCCCGCTCGCGCGCCACTGGCCCACCGCCTGGCACGCTCACGCTCAGATCCTATCTTTCTTTCTCTCTCTCTCTTTCTTTCTTCTTTTCTTTCTTCTTTCTCTTTCCTTTCCTTTCTTTTTTCTTTTTTTCTTTCTTTCTTCTCTTCTTCTTTTTTCTTCTTCCTTCTTTCTTTTTCTTTCTTCTCCTTTCTTTCTCTTCTTTCTCTTTTCTTCTCTCTCTTTTTTCCTTCCTCTTTCTCTCTTTTTCTTCTTTCCTTTTTCTTCTTTTCTTTCTTTCTTTCCTCCCTCCCTCCCTCCACCCTCGCCCCTCCCTCCTCTCTCTCTCTCTCTTCTCTTCTCTCTCTCTTTCTCTTTCTTTCGTTCTTTCTTTCATTTCTTTGACATAGAGTCACCACTGTTGCCCGGGCTAGAGTGCAGGTGGCGTAAGCCTAGCTCACAGGCACTCCGACTCTGGGCTCAAGCGTCTCCTGCCTCAGTCCTCCGAGTTATGCTGGACTACAGGCATGGCGCCACCGTGCCCCGGCTCATTTGTGGGTCTACATATTTCAGCCGTCGTCCAGTTAATTTCTTTTATATTGTAGTAGAGACGGGGTCCGCTCTTGCTCAGAGCTGGTCTCCAACTCCTGACCTCGCAGCAATCTCCCGCCCGGCCTCCAGAGGCTGGGATGACAGTGTGCGACTGCCACCGTGCCGAGGCCGCAGACTCTATTTCGTGGGCAGACATCTCCAATCAACCTGCAGCCTCTACGCCTCCCCGCAGCTGGCCCAGCCTGTGCCCCCAGCAGGCATGAGCGATCGATCACAGATGTACGGATTTGCCGGAATGGGTGCTGGCTGTCCCCACAGGGCTTTGCCATTCTCTGTGGGTCTTGGGGGCTCAAGCCCACCTGAGGCCGGGGCTGGAAATTCTGCACCTGATGGGACGCATGCCCCGGGGGGCGGGTCCAGTCTGGTGACTACGCCAACAGGGGTCTCTCTCTGTCTCTCTGTCTCTGTCTGTCTCTGTCTCTGTCTCTGTCTCTCTGTCTCTCTCTCTCAGTCTCCCTCCAACTGCGCCACTCAGCCCCAACCCCAACCCCCCAGCCTCTTCCTTAGGCCCCTCTAGGCCCCCACGGCAGGAAACCTCCCCCCTGCCTCCCAGCCCCCCACACCCCTCCCAACCTCCAGCTCTGTCTCCCTGGGGCCCGCAGAGCTCCGGACCCCCAGCCGGGTGTGGCAGCGGGGTAGGACCCTGAGCCCGGGGAGGGGAAGCAGGGTGCTCCAGTGGCCCCGTGTGAAGAAGGCCCAGAGGCAATGCTGGGCACGGAAGACCCTGTTCTCAGTGGGCGGCAACCTCACGCCCACAGTCCCAGCACTTCGGGAGGCCTAGACGGGAGGCTCGCTTGAGGCCAGGACTTCCAGAACAGCCTGGGCAAGAGCGAGACCCCGTCTCTACAAAAATTACAAAACAAATTAGCCGGGCGTGGTGGCGCATGCCTGTGGTCCCAGCTACTCGGGAGGCTGAGGCTGGAGGATCGCTTGAGCCCAGGAGTCTGAGGTTGCTGTGAGCGAGGCTGACGCCACGGCACTCACTCTAGCCTGGGCAGCAGAGCGAGACTCTGTCTCAAAAAAATAAATAAATACTGAAAGTGAAAATCCCCTCGGAGTAGCGGGCAGGAAAGCAGACTAGAAAGGGAAAACGGGGAAAAGTCCGAGGTGGCGTTTGCGCCCAGGAAACGCCTCCTTTTAAAAAAAAAAAATTTTTTTTTTAATTTTTCTCTAGCCTTAGTTTGTCTGTAAGACACCCCTGCGTTCAACACCCGGGGTCCGGCAGCCTGGGGGGGCTGGGCTCCCCGTCCTCCCCCCCACACTTGGGCGGTGGGAGCTGGGATCTTGGTCCCCAAGGGTCGCCCTCCGCCGCCATCGCGCATGCGCGGGGCCCCGTTTGGGCAGGAGGGACTGGGGGGGTGCGGGGGGAGGGGCGGGATTCGGGGTCCCCTTCCGCGCGGCGGGACCCCAGGCCCGGAGAGGGTCCCGGCTGCCCTGGCAGGCGACCTCGGCCTCTGCCCTTGCAGGGCCCGCCGCCAGCAGGTGCCACCCCCCCCCACCGCGCCTGGCCAGGGCCACGCAACCGCCCGCTCCTACCTGGCAGGTGACCCCGCCGCCGGCTCCTACCTGGCAGGTGACCTCGGCCCCCAGCAGGACGGCGGAGCGAGAGCCAGGCGGCGGGGAGAGGAAAGTCCCGCCGCGCTCCTTCCTGTGTGGGCCCCCGGGTTTCCTGAGCCGCTGTCACTTACCGAAAGTCAGGGCCCTGTGGGGGGCGGGGTGGGGGATGGAAAGGCCCGGCCTGGGAGGGGCAGAACGTTCCGGAAGCCCCTGCAGCGGCAGCGGGCGGCGGCCCTGCACAGACAGGCTGCTGGGGACCCCGGGCCCAAGGCGAGGAAGGCGAGGACGCGGGCACAGGGAAGGACCCAGGTCACACGGAGGTCTCCTCGGCAGCCCCTGTTGCCTCAGTTTACCCCTGCGTAGCGCATGCGGGTTGGGCACCCGGGCGGCACTAATGCTACAGGCAGGGAAGGTGCCCAGACCAAAGCCGCCCTCCCTGGGGGACGTTTCTCCCGTGAGAGTTTGGCAGAGACGATAGCACGGTATTTTCTGTGCCCTCCTGGCTAACCAGGCGGCCCAGCCGGCCCTGGACACAGAGGAGGACCAGGAGATCCAAATGCTCCTGGGTGACAAAGGAAGCCAGCCCCGGGGGACCGAGCAGGCAGGGGGGGAGCTGAGGCCAGAGACAGGACGGAGATCTGGCCGGGAGGGGCAGGGGTCTCAGCAGCCCGGAGCTCCGCAGTTAGGACAGGGGCTGGAGGAGGAAGGGGACAGCAGGGCCAGGTCTCAGGGCCTGCTCAGGCTCCTTGGGAGGAGGGTGGGCTTTGTCGTCCTAAGAGTGACCTCGCC